GATTTTAGAATTTGTAAATCTCCAGGAAACTCATAAAATAAAAATAAAAATGGGGGGAGCCAATTTCAGGCACCTCAAAAACCATATTTTTCCTATAAACATTTTGAAAATAATTTTTCTTCAACGATATATGTGCAAAAAATTGGATTGGATTTATAATGGGTTCAAAAAATTAATTAATTATGGGATAGCAAAAATATTATTTAAAATATATTCAAAATAAAAATTAATTAATTTAAGGGTCGGCGGAAATAGCGTAAAATTGTTTTGGGTTTACATTTTTCGCGGAATAACGTGAAAATATTTTATAAAAATTACTTGAAAATTTCATAAATTTAAATTTGATATAACTTTTAAACCACTAAGAACATGCATTTCAAATAATATTTATAATAAATTAATAATAGGTATATTTTTTTTTATTTGTTACTTATTCTTTATTGTTAATGTATTTGTTATTGTAATTATTCTGGAACGGATTCCGATAACGGTAACATTATGTATAGTGTACAACGACTGGTCCCGTACCACGCCCGTTTTGTAGACACGTGATTTGTCCATAAATTATAATAATATGATTTAATATATAATAATAGTTGATAAAACAATCAAGAACGATAAGAAACAACGTATAGATGGAAAAACTATCACTATGAAAACAGTATACTCGTATTACAAACAAAATATAGGTATATAATATAACTTTATATGTTATTAAAAAAAAACGTAATTAATTTCGTTAACCTGTATGAAAAACGGCAATAAGACGAGAATAATAAGAAAAAAACACGACCAAAGATATTTGTAGTGTGCCTGTAATAGAGTTGTCGTTTTAAATTGATACGTGTAGTTGGTATAAGCTCTCAGTACAGTCAGTATACGCAGCTTTGGCATTATAATAATATTATAATCCATGAAATATAAAGAACATACTGTACATCATCCGCATTCTTATCCTGCAGCCGCGAATCTTCGTTTAAACCTATGCTTAGGGTTAGATTTCGGTACTTTCTGATCTAAGGTGAAACAGACAATTTTCCTCTCATTAGTTAACAGTAGTGTATAGACACCTTAGCCGGTGATTGATCCCTTTCACCCATGAGTCGTGTCTCGTTTAAAGCGAATTAATAATTGCAATTTAAGCTATCGGTCATTCGACCACATAAAATGTTTACATATGTTGACTTTCCTCTGCATACTATTAATCAGGATACGCATCTACTATTAATTCATCACAACTCAACATTTTATAAAATATTACTATAATTTTTTTATCCCTGATTTAAATAATACATTAAAAAACAAAATTAAACATTTTTATACAAAAATCAACACATTTTTATATTATTTTTATAAATGAATAATTTTACTGTTTTCAAAACTAATTAATTTAATATTTTATTAAAATGTAAAGAATAAATAAAATAGCTTTCTGTTGATAGTAAACCTAAGTTATCAAAGTTCTATGTAAACAAAAAAAAATTTCACACAAAATCCGAGGTGCTTTAATAACAGCGCCTATCGTGCCTATTAGTGAATTAGTCCCTGAACCGAATAATATCAAACTGGTAGCCGGTGCACAATAAAGGTGTATTGAAAATATATGGTCAAAGCCATTTGAACCGGGTAAATGATACCGGGGCAGGAGTAGACTTTCGTTTATTTTAAGATTATTAATGTTCGCGTACTGCATTTCGCGGGGGCTCGAGAATTATTCGTATCACTACAATAATAGTATTATCATAAAAATCGTTCGTATTTATTGTCTCGTAGGTGTTGGTGCGTTTTTACGAAGTACGTGTTAACAATTACGTAATACCGATTGGCTTTACAACAGAAAACCACAATGCAGTTAGAGAGGTACGTATTAATGTAGTTTTTTTCTCTATGCGTAGAAATCGAGTAAGTAAAAAATAAACTGTGGTTTATTGCACCACCAAATAACTTAAGAGGACACCATACTCGCATGCATTTTCACTGTCTTGCCAACAGTAAGCTCAATTGATTTTTTTTGTTTTAAGGATTTGGCAAATGTTGTTGATCAAATTTAGAACTTCAATTTAAATATTTGTATCCTTATAGATACGATTGCTATACTAACATTTTTTACATATTTTGTAACTGTATCTATATAAGTAAAATAAAATCTGTGCACATTCGACTTTTTTTTTTAAATCTTCTTACTAAATATCGGAAATTGAAAAATTAAATGTATACAAGGGAGAGGTGCTATGGGAGCTGAAGCCCTAGCTGTTAAATTTTAGGCATTTAGTATATTTCATAGATTACCTACTTTTTTTTAGATTACTTCATTGCACTCATTAAATTAAAGAGGAGCAATATAATACATCTACGAGTAGCATTTATTATATTGCTTATTGACATTCAAGAGTGATTAATATTCGTGATTATTTATATAGTTCTTAATAGTCCTAACCTAGAAACATAAAAACAGTGAATTGATTAAATTAATTTGCCAAAAAAACTGTGATTTTTTTTCTAATTACTAAACATTTTACACTCTTGCCTATGTTATTATATAATTTATGTAATTAAAGGTAATCTTATTATTAAAGTTCTTTATTTTTATTTTATATTATGCATGTATAATCATTATTTTATTCGCATTCAAATTTTAAGGTTAAAACCTATGATATAAAAATGTAATTGAAAAATAATTATTTCGTTCAGCCCCTTCCCCCTTTTTATTTCTAAATTTGCGCCCGAAGGTATATATGAATAAATATATTAGCTGTAACATTATAATACCAATCTCTGTGTTTACTTGTAATGGAACTATTATATCTTAATTTATTCTTCTAACAATACAAATCTAAACATTCATACGTACAATGCACCAAAATTAATTTGGTTAGTAAATTGTTTGACTAAGATAATTAATATTAAATGTGTCTATAGAATATATTATACCCTCGTTAACAATACACCTCAAACCCGAATGCTCATTTAAATTCTGGTTGTATTCGGTATAAATGGATAATTTAAAAATACCCTAATACGGTTCTATGAGCCTAGTATAATATTTAGGTCTGAATATATTTTTATAGGGCGTCATTCATAACCGCACACTTATATATCTTATCCCACATATTTTCGTCAAATGAAACCGTTCAATACCGCACAAATTTATATATATATATATATATCAATTATATATACATTTATCTAAAATAACATGAGTGCACCTCGTGACCGAGCTCGCTCGCTCGGACAGTTAAAAACGAAAATATATCCCCAATTTGCTATGTAACATCACTTCAAGTAGGTCCTAGGATAAAAAAAAGATTTTGTGTGGGACTCATACGAAACGGGCAACGTGAATTGTACATGCAAATATGTTTACTGTGAAGCCACATGATTTAATTAGTAACTACCGATTTGCCGTATGGTTAAATGACATATAACACAAGTATGTTCATCTGATCAAAACAGCTGTTTGATTTATTTCGTTATTATAGAATTTTGTTGTACATCAAAAGTTGTTCGCTCCAATCAGCCATGTGAAATAATCTATTTCGCCATTACATTATTAATTACTTAACGTAGTTTATGTTCAGTTGTATATATATCGCGTGTACTGTACACTATAAAGGGATAGCTTAAGGTCGTAGACGAAAGGACCTTTTACCGACTATTTCTTATGGTTTAGTTGATTTGATACAGCGACACTAATTGTATTTAAAATCATTTGAATTGAAATCAAATCAATAAAAATCTATCATATCACTACTCGACGCGAGGTGTTCGCTCGTGAATTGTATTACGTACGTCGACTGATGTTTATGACGATTATTCCGTAACCGTATTACGGTCCATGGTCCTAGAACAAAAATGATACATTTTTCACGTGTCTATTGCAGCCACAACACCGTCTTACGTGCTCGCATATTACGATGTGGGTACAATGCTAACAGCAATAATATTTACAACGTACAGCTATGTGTGGTCAACCCGTCTTCGTCGATTTATGCCATTTGCGTCCTTATGTCGTTATTATTTATTAAAAGTATTACGGACATGGCAAGTAGTTCTACGAAATGAAAGATAAAAAAAAAAAAAAAAAAAAATAAAAAAATGATAAATAAATAAAAATCGCGTATGATTTATATTCCAAATAGCTCTTCGCTAAACTGAAGACATGGTTAATTGTTATACTATATTTACGCGCAATAATACGACTGGTGTACACGTGTATTGTGTTAATCCTTTTGTGTTTATTTGATTCCGGTTGTATATTTAAAACACACACGCGCACAGTTGTATATATCTAATGTATATATAAGTATAGATATACGATGAATAGTCATCTGTATACAAGAAAACGTATTACAGACCTATACGTTCATATAAACTTTAATAATATTATATTTGCGTTATAATTATACTTGTTATCTGTGGCACGTTCAATACGAGGAAATATTATACTGCGACTTACAAATGATTTTGTCGTCGTGGGTGTTCAATTAAAATTCGTGAGGTAACATTTTTTCTCTCGAAATTAAGTAATCGGATTTTAAGATAACGTCTTACCGAACAGTACAGGGCCGGATTTAGGGGAGGGCTGAGTGGGCTGCAGCCCACGGGCCCCCACTAATTCGGGGCCCCCACAATTTTATGATATTTAAATTAGAATACAGAAAAAAATATTTTAATTATATTTTCACGTGTTTAATTGAATGATATAAAACTTAATTTGGAGTATTTGGACGTTTGAAATTTAATTTTCTTTTAACTAATAATACATATGAATTTGTGTGTATTGACAATGAACAGTGGTTTAGAATATAGATAAGATATTATGTCTTTTTTTTTTGCGTCCGTAATCGGTGTGCACCGTTGACAGTAATAATATTAGAAAATGCGTTTCTAAATATAAACGTGTTATATAAACAATTCTATTATTCGGGGAATTATGAGATAAGTTTTCGGTAATATCATAAGATACAAATCACATACTATTCGTCACTATAAATATATATATATATATATATAATATCGACACATTTTGTTCGTTATTCGTCATTAATCGATATTCATCATTATCATTGGTGACGTCTGACGTGTTACAACAAGGGTATAATATACTTCACAAACGTTGTATTTGATTTTTGTATATTCTGAGTTCTGACTAGAATACTAGATAGACTATAGACTATAGTTGTTCCATTTATTCTTGTTTATAAGCATTTTTCAAACAGTGATTTGTATAATAATATTTTACAAATTATAAAATGGAAGATCGTCATAAATTAAAGCGAGTTTATATGAGTGGTGCAGATAAACGAAAATTAGCTAAAGAAAAAGAAAAAAAAAATAATGAAATAATTTCAAAAACAAGGCGAATGACTGATTTTATCATAACACAGCCAAACACGACTTCTGAGGTAAGTTCAAAAATTTTCAAATACTGTACAAAGAATTAATATAACATGATAATATAAATAATTGGTGAGTGTAATCGAATAAAATTTAATATTATTAAGATCTACAGTCATGGTCGTGCGCAGAACATTTTCACTGGTGTTGCGTAATTATTCCAAAGCTATATACCGATTAGTAATAATAACCACTATGTATAATATAGGATCCCAGATTATTCCAGTAATTCATATTATTGTTCTTTCATTCCTTTTCCTATTATTGCGTTTGTTATTATTAATGTAAAAATAAGATATAATTATTGACGACTTTAGTATAATATATTAAATTCAAAAATGTAATAATAATTGAAAATTAAACACATTACCTAATATAATAAATAAAAATTGGATAAAATGTCTTATCAATATAATTTCAATTAGATACATATTTAACAATTTTTTCATTCGATTTCAGTCATATCAAACTGCTTCACCAGTAATTGTAACTGAAAACCCTTCACCACAAATCCTAAATGTTGAAGAAACAAATGAAGGTTTAAATTTAGATATAGGATTATGGCCTGAAAATATGACAGGATTAATAGATTACTGGGTAAAAGTAGGCAGTTCAAATGTACAAAATTGTTCTCAAGAATTATTTATACAAAAATCAAAAAAACAGTTTGATGTAAAATTTACTCGTAAATGTAATAAGTCATTGTTTGAGCGAAAAACTACCAACGGAGAAATAGTTAAGCGTTCATGGTTATGTTTTTCGCCATTCAACGGTAGTATTTTTTGTTTTGTTTGTAAATTAATGTCCAAAACACGCAGTCAATTTACTCACGGTGGTTTTTGTGACTGGAAACATGCAGATAATCGATTAATAAGTCATGAAACTTCCAAAGATCATTTAAATTCTGTGATTAATTTAGCTGTTCGTTCAAAAGAATTAAATCGTATTGACAATGAACTTATCAAACAAAGTGAAGAGGTAAAGAGTTATTGGCGTAATATAATCAAGAGACTGATAAGTGTTATAACATTTATATGTGAACGAGGTTTGGCATTACGTGGTACAAATGAAATTGTTGGATCGCCTAAAAATGGCATCTATCTTGGAATTCTGGAGCTGTTAGCTGAGTATGATAATTTTCTTAAACAGCATATTGAAAAACATGCAAATCGTGGAAGTGGGCACACTAATTATTTATCTTCTACAATCTGTGAAGAATTAATAGAAATAATGGGAAATAATGTTTTAAATGAAATAATTGTTAGTGTAAAACTATCTAAATATTTTTCAATTTCATTAGATTCGACACCCGATGAAGGTCATATAGATCAATTAACATTAGTTTTTAGATATATTGAAAGAGATACACCAGTGGAAAGATTTTTAGTATTTATGCCAAACCAAGGTCATAAAGCTCAAGATATGTATGATGGTTTAATAAGCTTTTTAAATAAGTATAACTTAAATATAAAAAATTGTAGAGGCCAATCATACGATAACGCTTCTGCAATGAGTGGGAAATACAATGGACTCCAATCAAAAGTTCTGGAAATTAATAAGCACGCTTTTTGGATTCCATGTGCCACACATTCTTTAAATTTGGTAGGAAAAGCAGCAGCCGAGTGTTGTACTGCTGCTGTTGAATTTTTTGATTTCTTAGAGCAGTTATATGTATTTTTTACGGCATCAACAAAACGTTATGAACTAATGGTTATAGCTCTAAGTTTAGAAAATACCAAAACCCGTATTCATGTACCACAACGAGTTAATACTACACGTTGGTCATGTAGATCTGATGCAACAAAAGCCCTTATGCTAGGCTATAAACAATTTAAAAGTACTCTAATTAAAATAGCTGATGACTTAGAACAAACAACAAAAACGCGCTGTGATGCAAATTGTTTATACAACCAATTGTGTACACTTGAAATTGGAATTTACACAGTCTTTTGGAATAATATCCTTGAAAGAGTAGACAGCACTAATAAATTACTGCAAGATCCGACTTTAGACCTTAACACTGCAGTTTCTGCTATTAGGTCTTTAAAGAATTTTGTTCAATCTAAACGTGATAAGTTTGATGAATATGAAAAACAAGGAGCAAACATTTCGGAAACAACAGACTATTTGAAACATCGTAAACGGCAAAGGAATATCCGTTTAAATCCAATAGATTTTCATGAAACACCCGAAGTAGATTTAACTTCTTCTCAGAAATTCAAAATTCAAAATTTTTTACCTGTTATAGATACATTTATTTCTAACTTGGACAAACGGTTGTCTGCTTATGAATTGGTATACCAACGATTTGGCTTTCTTCGAAAATTAGACCAATTAAGTAATGAAGAAATTGAAAATGAAGCAACTAAACTTGTCAAAATTTACGAAGATGATATCGATGAACACTTTGGAAACGAACTTATCCAGTTTAAAGAATTTTATAAACATTTTAAAGATGAAAACAGTGAATTTCATAATATTAGTCAAGAACATTTGATGTATAAAATATTAATTAATAAGGAGGTAAAAGATTGTTTTCCAAACGTTGAAATAGTTCTTCGCATTTATCTTGTTCTTATGATTACAAACAGTAGTAGTGAAAGATCATTCTCTAATTTAAAACACATAAAAAATAGATTGCGTACTTCTATGGACGGAGACAGACTCAATCATCTTGCGAGAATGAGCTCTGAGTCTGATATTTTAAGAAAACTAGATTTTCAAAATGTTATTGATAATTTTGTGCAAATGAAATCAAGAAGAGTTCCAGGCATTTAAGTTTAATAACTTGACATTTTTTTGTATTACTCAATATTTAATTAAACGCACTTACATAATTTAAGCGATACGCATTTCTTATAAAGCAAATATATAATATGATGATATTTCTTATGCTTTTTTTTTCTATTTTATTGTTTATATGGTTATATTTTATTATTAAATAAAAATTTAATCATAACTAATTTTCAATATGATTTTATGTATAATTTTATTTAATAAGTCTTGTTCAGATTGTATTTTTTCTAAATGATAAAAAAAAAAAAAAAATTTTAAAAGTCAAAAAATATGTGTTTTTGTTAAGTAAATGGGGCCCCCACACTAAATTCCGCCCAAGGGCCACCACATACCTAAATCCGGCCCTGGAACAGTATTTTCTATATAAAACTGTACAATGATAATAACAAGATCCTTATACTTATCCTTATTCTTTAAGTATCTAATACACGTTCTAAGAGTATATTGAAATAAACTAGGAACAACTTTAACATTAAATAAAATCCATATCATATATGCAGCTTAAAATCGTATTGTCGTTTTTAAACATATGCAACCGACTACCTGTCAATCATTTGGCATTAATTCTTTTTTTTTCTTACGATAAAGTTATGATATTCTACTATGTGATTGTGATACAACAGTTGAAAATTTTTAAAAAACGATTCGTCTCGAGAGTTGGTAGTTTGAATATAAAATGGCAAACACTACTCGAACAGAAAAATATACATACCTACGTTGGAATACACATGTGAGGAAATAGAAAGTTGTATGAAAAATATTAATGTTTTTGAACGTTCGCAAGATAACAGTTGCAGTTAAATATCTTTTTAATACTACCACGTTTTATGATACATTTCTTAGAAGCTAATTTATAAGTTTAATTTCGTCAGATTACTGTCAATCATTCTTATTCATAATAAATATTCATCTTATCTCGAAATTCTTATCGTCATTTCAAACCTAGAAAAGTTTTATTATACACATTGCTATTGTGTGAACTACACGGGTGGTGTTTTTTTATTTATAATCTTATAAATTATTAGATTATTTTTTTGTAGATCTGCACTTTGATATTTTAAAGAAATAACCTACGATTCGATGGTATTGAGTATAACATTTGATTTGTAATACGTTCACATATTTTTTTTATTTATCGTGTAATGGTAGGGCGTTTATTTTTCCTGATATTCTTTTTATGAATTTAATACTCCCACATCCCGCACAGGCTATTTATATTATGTTACTAATTCTACTGTCATCGACACTACAATGCAACCTATGACAATTGATTTTTATAAACTTATCATCGGGATTTTATTGCTATTATTATAATAATTATAGTCAACAGTTTTTAAAAATGTCCAATTAATTTCAATTTAGTCGGTAGTTTTAATAGTTTAAACTCGAGGCACAGAACATTGGAAATTAAATTTATATTATAATAAACGTAATTAACTTGGCAAGTGTATTATAGATATTATCAAGAATGGAAGTTGAAAATGAAAACTTCTTACAATTATTTATTTAATTAAATTATTTCGAGGTAATTATGTATATTAATATTTATCAGATTTACAAAGTTCCAAAACCTTTCATCGTTTTGTAATTGAAATTACAAAAAAAATTTAGCAAAAACATTATCTTCCGATGTGTTTAACGCGAGAATTTGCAAGAAACTCGAACTTACTAAACGGACCGGGGCATATATTGATATATAAGGGTGGGGGTAGCATTTAGATTAAATACCTCCTCTTAGGAAATTCTCCTATAGACATTTAAATTTATTAATCATGGATAGGTGTCAACATTTTAATAATATGTTTTATTAATTTGTAGTAATTTTATTATTATGAATTAAAAAAAAATACGAAGCTAAAATAATAACGATAGTTGTTTTATTCGTGTTCATTTTATGTCTACTGTGAATTATTAAACAGTTAATACCTTAAATATAGCCTATTGAAGTTTCTTAATTTATTATTATTATTATTATTTATATACAAAAAGGTTAAATAAAATAAAAACAATACTTCTTCTGATATCTCTGAAACTGTCTAATTATTTGCAGATTATTTTTTTAGTGTTTATACACCGGATCATTTTAACTTTAATGGAGAAGTTCCTCTTCAAACTGATGGAACTAATAATAATTTAAATGTAAGCACAGACTATTAATCTTCATGAAATCGTTAATTATTTAAATTCCTTAAATACTCATGTTGGAATTGGTACTGATAGTACTTGTATTTTTAAAATCTTGCAACTCAGTACTGATACGGCCGCTTCATTTAATTTTCAAAAAATCCTTAAATTCAGGCCATTTTCCCAAAATGTGGAAAAGATCTTTTGTAACACCGATGGATAAATCAGGTGATAAACAAAATGTTATAAATTATAGACCAATTTACAAAAGTCCCTTATTCCAAAAATGTTTGAAGCTTTTTTACAAAAACTTCATTACAAAAAGATTGTCTTTATTTGTATCTCCTTCATATGTAAAAACCAACATGGTTTCAGACGCCATATGTCGATTTCCATTAATTTATTTCTTTATCAAACGAAGATTCTTACAGCCTTGAATGAAAATATTCAATTAGACACTATACTGACTTTCAAAAAGCGTTTGACAAAGTAAATCATTATTTTACATAAATCATCTTATTTTGGTATACACGGTAATGTTTTTAATTGGTTGAAAATTTACTTATATTCGCGTACACTAGCAGTAAAAATTTTAAATCATGTTTCAAATGATTTTTTGATCAATTCTGGTGTTCCACAAGGGCCGCACTTAGGTCTTCTCTTAATTATATTATTTATTGATGATCCGTCTTCCATCTTTGATTGCTCGGTTGATATTCTCTTATTCGCCTAATTTCACAAATTTTGAGTGAAAAACAGAAATAAATTAATTTTGTTTAAAAATGTTAGAGGTAGAATCAGAATTGAGTCCAACTGTCAATAAAATCGCTTATTTTAGAAATAATTAAAAAATAATTTGTCTACTTTAACCTTATATACGTATTTGACAGATTATAAGAAAATATTTAAAAAATGTACGATAAAAGACAAACCACAAAGCTCTTAATTTTGCGTCAAATAAAATATAAATCAAATATCTGGTTCAATACAGTTTGAATTTATTATTATTTTTTTTTAAATTTCAGTGACGTATTTGTCGTCTAAACTTAGTGATAGTTTAATTATAGTTTATAATATTAAATAAAATAGTAACATATTATACAAAGACATATAATATGTAAAGACATGAATGTAAAGGTTCAATTATATTTGTCTTATGTCTATTCCTCGTTTGAGTTGACGAAGTTAAGTTTGGTTTTTAATAATATGATAAATTTATTGTAAGAATAAATGTTCATACTTATTTGTATGGAAACGTAGATTCACGTAGAACCACGATTATTCGAAACATATATCCGAACATTCTACTGCGACCAAACAAAAAATATAATCTTGTACTTCTTTTTAATAATAACAATAATTATAGTACATTCAGAGCCGAATAACCAGGTGTGCAAGATGTTCAAAAAACAAGAGTGGTGTTATAAATCAAATCTCAGAAAAAATTATAATAGTAATTACTTGTATAATAATAAATTTATTGTAAATGTTACAAATTACATTAAATTTTATAGTATTATGCTATTATGTATGAATGTTTGTTTTTCGTGATATGTGTGATCAATTTATGTATGTAAAATATTATAAACATATAATATATAATAATTATTTATATATATACAATATACCTTATTAAGAAAAATTCTAGTATTCTAATTGGATACAGACTATATGTAAGGGTGCATACGCAAAGAGACAAGTTGACCAAAAGTAAAACTTTACAGGAGAAAAGTTTACATTTTAACGTATTTCTTTTGTAATTATTATATGATTACTAACTATTACTTCAACTTCAAAGGTTATACTACCGCAAGCTCAAGTTTGCTATCCAGTGCATATATGGACTGCCTCATCGATATTGTGAATTATCTTAACATTTCTTCTCATAATAGGCATAATATACGAGTACCTATTTCTATACAACTGCCTGGATCGGTTAAGCCTACAATATGTTAAAAATATTTTGATTTAAATTTTCCTTCGAAGTATACCTCACTGAAGGAAATTTCAAAATATCAATGAGGCGAATGTTATAACGCCACCAGGGCTCCCATTGAAAATGCAGTGGTATTTATTCAACCAAGTATGTAACCTATGTTCCAACGAATAAAATAAAGATGAAGTAGCACCAAGGCCTATCGAAGAACTCGAAAATAATGATTTGAATGCAGTTGTCGATCCTAAGGCACCTGCAAGTTCCAATTTCATTCGAAATAAAAGAAAAAATTCGAAGAAAGTAGTTGCAAAGAACGCAAAAAAAAAAAAAAAATAAATAAACTGCTCAAACGAAAAATTCTAAAACAGTAACAAGTTTCTGTTATTCATACTTATAGAAGAAATTTATTCACGTATTTTTTATGCTGTATTTGAATAAAACATTTTGTCATGCTTCACTTAAAACTTCAATATATCATTGAAATATTTAAAATTGAGATCTGTGGATAGTTTCAGTTGATTCTTGAAGATGTTTTAAAAAAATGTTGTTCAAAAAAAGATATCGAAAATTTGGTGAACTTTTCGTATGCGCCGTCACATATAATTGAATCGGACAATTGAATTTCTACTGTATTTATATTTTCAAAAAATAATTTCTAATAAATATTTAAAAAGAGTATTTAGCTGTATATTTGTGTACCGACATCATTGTTTCTCAACATTTCTTATTTTTCAACGACCATTTTAAATATTACAACATTTTCATACCCCCCCCCCCCCCCACCAACATTGTTGTTGAAAAACTGTTTAATTTTTATTATCAGCTATTAACGAATAAATAAAAATAATATTACATAATAAGTAATTTTTACTTATAAATATCGATGTGTATTAAAAATATAATTTCGTATTTGTTTTTATAAAATAGCTGTACAGAAAAAACTAATGTGGATTTACCTTGAGATTGATGATTTACTGCTTAT